TGTTGTTGTTGGGACATTTGTCCCCCTGGGCCTGGTCCCTGAGCGGGAGGCTTGGGGCCCGTGACCCCGGGCTGTTCGCCCCAAGCACCTCCCATCAATTCATCTGGGAGGTCCTTTTCAAGGTCGAACATGTCAAGGTTAGAAAACCCATCTACTGAAACAAATTGAAAATAGGACAGTATTTAGTGTATGATAACATACATTTGATTAATTATCTGATTCAGATGCTTTTAGTCTGATTGCTACACATTTTGACACACTCTATGTAGAAAATACATCAAATTAATTTTTTTTTCAAAACATTGTGAAACAGGCTCCTTAAAAGTCCTATGTTTGTGCAATTCTATTGAGACAATTTAAATAGTTTAATACATACATGTATTTTGCTATACTACTTATAAATATTTTGCAGTAGTATAAACATATTAGATTCAAGTATTTATTTAAATTAATTTTGAAAATGTTTTTATATTTTCTTAAATGTAATAGAATGTATTCTATAAATATTTTTAATCTACTTTCTACTAATGAGAAATGACATAGGAAGGAACATGATTTCTTCTGATTTTTTTAAACAAAATCTTGAGTATGATGGAGGTCTTGAGTGAAATTTTAATCACTGTTGTATTTAACCTCAACATTATTTTGACTGTAAAAATTTTAGTATTCTTAATCCAAGAGAGAACCATACCAGGTTTCTTTTAATCTGGTAATCACAGTTGGGATGTTTAATAACTTAAAAAATGGAACTAATATTGTGTAACAAAACATTAATTTATTTCATATTTTCAGACTAGGTAAACTACGATAATTTGATATTAGACTACAAAAAAAAAAAACACAATTCAAGATAAATATGGAACAACATTATTTATTATGAGTAACAGACAAAACAGCATACAATTAATTCATACTCTTTTTCAATGATTAGGTCCCTTTGTATCAAATCATATTCAAGTGAATCAATTCTAATATTTATGTGTTTATAACCTAAACAAAACTAATTTTGGTTGTAAATTATTTAAACAAACAATGTTTGACAACTTGCATCAAGTTGTATCATGATGTTACAATATTTTAATACACACCATAAATATTGTTTAAAATTCAAGGTAATGAGATGATCATGATGAAGACAATAAATTTTCAAAAGATGAACAAAATGTTTTGATGTAAACTTTTAGCCTTGCACTTTATTTAGTCAGCATGTAAAAAAGAGGTTATGTTCTTATCAATCTACACAACATAAGATAATACATTACATGTGGACATACAATCTAATGTAGCATTTTTATTCTTGAGTCTACATGGATGAATATGCCAATGTTCTGTTACCAAAACATAATGTGGGTCACCAACATCATTCTATGTCAAGCAATGTTTTGAATTAACAACTAATGTTACCGGGATATTTTGTATATTTTCTATGCAATTTGTAGTTATTCTATCAATATTTAGTCATATCTCTCTTAATAAATTGTAAATTAATGCCATGGTAAGTAACTTCTATGTCATGCCTTATCTAAATTAAACCTAAACTATAAATTAAGATATTTGGTAAAAATAAGGGAAGATTAATGCTTATTTTACTAATAAATGTCTTAATTTGTCGTAACAAATGAAATATTAGCCTACAATTACAAAATATACACCCTAAAACAAAGTTACAAAACTTGCGTTTTATTCGATTTAATCAATGAAATAACAGAAATGGATCGGTATTTTGTATTACAAAGTAACAAAATATCAAGTAAAATCATCATATTCTCATATCACGGGCTAAGATACAATAATACGACGCAAAACTTGCGGGGCGCTAACAAGAGCGAAGGCAAAATGTCAAAAATCAAAGAAAGATAATATGACAGAACACTGTTCCGACACTTTGCAAACTTCGAATAAAACAATAAAATACTCACCCGCGGAGTCCGAGGGACCCTGGAAAGGGTCCCGGATCATCTTAGGCCGCTTGTTAGGCGGCTCATCGGCCATGGCTCTGTTTACTAAACGTAAGCCGTCGTGAATATTTCGGCCCGCCGATTTAAAAAACACTTTTATGTCTTATATCTTCAAGAAATAACATTTTAGAGCGATTTGTCATTCATCATAATGTAATTCACCCACATCGCGATCGTTCGATGTCCTTCGCACCATTGAAGGCACATATTATAATTTCTCACTCAAGTATTCGCCATTACAAAGCTCCGAATCGAAGAGCTACACAGACCCTCTCACCATCTTCCGTCGGAACTAGCACAATAAATGAAAACAATATCACCAGATTTTAGCTACTTTATGGAACTTATTTACGATATCGAACAACACGATTTCACTTAACACTTTAAAATACACGGAATGGTAAAGTTTATGATAAAATGATGTAAGAAAAAACAGAAAATTTACACGACAAATTCCGAAATTCTTCTCAGTCTCTCCAGCGCAAAATGGCGGCTGTTGATGAAAACTTTTTCTACGCTTGTCAGAAAATGTCGGCCTATATAGAGTATAGGAAAGCGTTGTGATTGGTCCGCGCAGACCACGTGACTGCCGGAAGTACCGATTTGACGCAGGATCGGTCGAATTATTCTGACGTCAAGGCTTACAAAGCCGAAGTTAGCCGAAGAAACCCGAAGATGTTTATTCCATGTAAAAGCATATTTTAAAGAAAAATCTTTATAAATATTAATATTTTTTAATAAAAGTACTAAGTTAAAGGTATATATTGCCTTATTTAGCATTATTACATTCATATGCGCCATTCATGCAGCCAGAAAAATTAAACAAAACTGTAATTTTGAAAACTCCCTCCAAATCGGGAGTGGCCATCATCAATACGACGTGTCTCTAGAGTGTCTATGATATAGAGATGGTCATAAACTACTATTTTTTACTTTTAAAGTTGGCACTGGGATGTAGTTTATTAATCTATAAATGAACAGTAATGTAATGCATTATTTTGTATATAATATGCATGAATGTTCCTAATTTTAATTTGTAATTAGTGAATTTATTCGTACAACACCTTTATTTTTAAAGGATTTTATCATTTTTATGATTAAAGGATAAAATAATATTTTTGCCTTATTTTACAATTTACTAGGAAAATCATTGAATTTGTTAATCAGTGTGTATACCAGATTCTGATTTTCAATTAATAAAATAATCTATACTAATATTACAAAGAGGTAAAATTTGTTAGTTTGTATGTAGGGGTAATCTTTGGAACCATTAGTCGGATTTCCAAAACTTTCACTGATTAGCTACAATTTTCCTGGATATATTAGGCTATAAACATTACGCTGCAATCTATTTGAGCCAAATAGCAGTGAGAGTAGCTATCATAATTTTAATTAACACAATAGGAAATAATCTCCAACTTGTTTATGTTTGGTAATTTCTTATCACCATGTCTTTTATTTTTGAAATAAAAGGCAGGGAACACCCATTTCTCACTAGTTATGATCCCCACATCCAATGTGATTGGTGAACCTAAAGCTCAGCTATTTTACCAAGTATACAATAAATGTAAGTACCTATCTTCCTATTGTGATTGCTATCCTTAATGCAGATTCCCATTGTGAATCTTCTCTTTTTTTAAAAACGTTGCCCCACACTAGGATTTTCTCCTGTGTCATGGGTCCGTTTACAAACATAAAATTTTACATGCACATCACACCCAGACCCGGAAAAACAATCTGTGGATCACACAAAGAGTTGTACCGTGGCGGGGATCGAACCCATACGACACGTTGTGCGCCAGCCAGTTGCCCAGCCACCGCACCAACCGTGAAGTCGCATTTAGAATTGATTCGTGATACTAATATAGCGTTGGTTTGATATTTTTGGGACACAATCTGAAGAACACGAGAGCAATATTATTTCTCGTGATTTCAAACCTAGGTGTGAGATGAGACATCGAATTAAGTAAACGTTTGTTCCTTTGCTTTTAAAAGACGGAGGGGTTCCTCCATGAGGATTTTACAGCTGAAAGTAAAATAAGTAGTACGTACAAACCCAATTAAATTCTAAATTATTATTAACTTTTTTTGGCTGTTTGATTATATCATTATAAATAAAAAATCATAATATTATTTTTATCTGATAACTTATTAGAAGGATACGGAAGTAATACAATGATCGATCTTTGTTGGAGGGAAAAATGATTCACTTCACTTCATCAATAGCATTGTTGTGGCGGAAAATATAAATTTAGGCGCTCGTTTTTGATGTTTGCAGGGTAATTAATAAAAACTATAATTAGATAAATTCACCATGCTTTATATATATCGCGTAACAGAATTTTAAGAACAACCTACCTTTTACGTAATGTGTAATAAATTGGTAATAATACAAAACAGATACCTACTTACCTTATTAATATTTATATTTGTTTTTTTGTTATTTATTTTTCAGACGTCATGACAGGTTTTGTATACTTAGCATGAAGAAATTGATATATTATTCTTTATTAAATTATAAATTTATAACGTATTTTAAGTATATTTTTTTATATTGTCGCATTGACACTATAGTAGGTACTGGTGGACAATGTGGACATTGACCCAACTATTAGAACACTATAGTAGGTAGGCCAAATGTTCAAGCACACTACTTCAGCAGCGGTAAGACCCCTGGTTAAGTGGCTTGAAAGACGTCAAGGCGTCCTCACCTTCCGACTGACCCTGGTGCTTACCGGATACGGCAGCTTCGGTAGGTTCATGTTTTCGATCCGGCAGGAGGAAACGCCCGAATTTCGTCATTGATAGAACCACCCAGAAGACACGGTGGCGGTTTGACCTGTTTGTGCTGAGCATCGCTGTGTCCTCAGGGAATTGATTGGCAGCGGAAATATCTCGCGCCCGGCCTATGTCGAGGCCATGGTAAATAAAACACCAGGGGAGTTATAATGGTGTAACTGAGCTTTTTGGGGTCAAGGATTTGAGGATGGAGGGATTGTGTTTGAATCTTTTTGATGACAAGGGAACTTATAGTTAAAAACTTTATAACTTAAAAATAATATTTATTTATTAATAACCTTTGTTCAATGTTACATTTCTTTTAAAGGTCTTATGCCTAAAATCGTTAATGCAGTTTTAAGAACTAATCTAGAACAGTAGAAAACAAGTAATCTTTGGGCTGCTAAATCTGAATTTACATCTTTCACTCTTACTTCATTAAACATTCTATTAACATGTCTTGCAAGACGGAATAAGTAATTAACAACAATACAAGCTTCATACTCTTCCAAAGATTTTTGAAGAATACTGTCAAATTTAGCCAATTCAGCTATTACATCTCCTATTACTTCCTCAGATAGACATTCTGCTTCACATGTGTCTGGTAATGAGACACCACAATTTTGTTCTAGACTCCAAAGACGGCAATGAAGATACTGTAATTTGATAGCACTATCCCCCTCAGTTTGAAGAGCTTTGTCCCAGCTAAATGTGTAATCTTTTAGCCTTTTCTGCTTCAAGTCATTAATTAGAACAGCTGAGGTCCCCAAGATGTCACATGTTTCATCATTCATTGCTCCAGTTCTAGTATCTGCAAAATATGTTGTTAAAAATAATTAGAGAAATTAATGACTTCAATGCAAAAAGAAAAAATAATTACTCATAGGTTTGATATACAAGCAAGAAACATTTTTGTGGTGCGTTTGTTGATCTTTAAACTGAATTAAAAAATTTAAGACCCAATCATATAGAAAAGTGAGATTTTGATTTTTATTAACTTCACCACAGTAATTAGTTCCTATACTTGTAATTGTTACACATAAAATATAGCATTACTTTTTGATAAAGTCTGTTTATCATGCATTTTTCTTTTGGCTTCATCCAATATATCATTCAAAAATACTACATTTCCTGTCCTTGTGCTCATGCCTTTAAGCCTGCCAAACTTGATGTGTTCACAACCGTCAGTGCATTTTTGGTCAATTTGTTTAACAATATCAAAGACTGCTGCAAAATGATCTGTTTGGGCATTGTCAACTACATACAGCATTTTATCAAAATTATATTTCTTGTATCTATCTAATAAAGCTGCAATATCTCTTGATATATATAGTGTTGAATTATCACTTTTTAGTACAGTTATATTTCTGTTATTTACATAAGCAATTTTCTTTCCTGATTCATCTATTTTGATTATATTTTTCTTTTCCAACAAATCCATTATAGGTTTAATTACTCCACCATTATAATCAGATTCCCAGTGGTATGTATCAAATTGTATACCTAATCGTTGATACACTTTCTCTAACTCCTGTACAGTGACTTCTCGAATATTTTTCCAATTTTCTAAACTCATTCTACCTTGTTCTATTTCTGAAAAATACTTTCTAGCCTCCTCTTGAATATTGTTATCATTTGAGGCTAATTTATTAGCATATACATAGACATCATATAGAATCCGAATTGGATCATTTTGCAAATCTTTTACATTAATGTTCTTTGATTTCAATCCATATTGCAGCAACCCAAACTGCGTGCCCCAGTCACCCAAGTAATTAAGTCGGGTGACATTATTGTCAAAATATGTATTAACATTAGCAATAAAGTTTCCTATGATTGTTGATCTTAAGTGGCCAGCATGAAATGGCTTGGCTATATTTGGTGAGCTGAAGTCTATAACTATTTTCTTGGGTTTAACAAGCTGCCTTGGCCTAGGTGTTTTTATATTTTCTAGTATAGTCTTTATGAAAGTATTTTTTTCTACGTGAAACGATAAATCATTGATGCTTTGATTTTGTGTAGAGGCGTCGAAATTTGATCCAGACTTATTTATGTTGACTGCATAATTGCCTTCAGCATGTTTATAAGAAATAGTTACATTTCTTAGGTTTCTTAATATATATTTTTTATCGACATTATGTGGAAGTATCTGTAACATAAAAGTCTTTACAATAAATATACCTATTAACGGTATTCTACTTATAGGTTAAAATTTATAATTAACTTTATTGGCTAGCACAAACCTTATCCATTAACATAATTTTAGGTTTCATTTTTTTTATTTAATCTAGATAAGGTTAGTCATTACAGAGATACAGTTGTTACAATAGAAAGTTGCTTCAATTTATTTATTTTTTAGAAAGTTGATGAGCAACTTTTGACAATCGTTGAACGTGATGATGACATTTAACAAAATGTTGCCCACACACCAACTCCGTCCCCTTTTTCAGTCAAGCCGATGATTTATTTTCCTATAAAACATTTACTTGGCTAATCAAATACGCAGTTTATGAAATTAATTTTACTTACTGATGTTATTTTTTATCAAGAAAATTATCATTTCACATTAAGTGCTGTAGTTTAAAGTAGACCAAACTGGGATTTATGCCTGCTTAGGAGTAATAAAAATTAGAAAGTTCTTTCAATCGCAATTTATAACATGAAATGATATCATTATTTAAGTGAATCTTTGAGGTTTCATAGAATTTTAATATATTTAATCGAGTCCTGGCTAATATTACGTTATTGTTACTGATAGAATCGCTTTACGGATAGTGGTTAGAATGTTCTCATCTGACATTTATTTATTTATTGTTACAAACTAAGCTATCTTTACAGCATTGCACAACTTAAAATGTATTTGTATATAGTCTCACATTTCTATCAAATCTGTTCATCCGTTTTAGTTGTTAAACTATCAAAACCCTGTTAGAATAAATTAGATTCGTTTTGATTTTAATTATTTAATATTGGTAATTGCAATAATGTAGAGGCAACACTGTAAAAGAAAATGGGGCAACAAATTAAATGATTAGATTCTGTAATAAATGTTTTAGTCATTTTTTATTTTTGGCCTTCGTAAAAATATGCAGTATAGAATTTGTAAAATTTAAGAAATAGAAAAATTGAAATTAGGATTCTTTATTAGAATGATCAAAACGTTCTCTCAACGTCAAATCTTCAGTTCTTCAGACGTCTTTTCAGTTGCTTAGCAACCAATCACGTATCAACAAGCAACAAAATGTATTTTTGTCATTGTTGAAAATATTAATTGCTCAATAAATTATTTACAATATGACGACTCCCAAAGTAAGCACCTTTCTAATAAGATGTATTTTGTAGAAATTTTCTTTACTGTATAATGCCGGTTGTTTAATCTTATGGTATATATGTAATATTGTAATGTTTTCCAGTTGTTATATACAATAGAACAGCCTCATGGCATGGGAGAGTTGTACTTCTTGTGGCAGAAGGGTGAGTCACATTCCTTACTGGCCACAACTGGAACAGATGCCACAGTTGCTGTGCATGATAGGAGTGGACAGTTGTTAGAAAGAATGAAGTTGCAGGGGTAAGATGTTAAATAAAACCTAAACAAGTTTGTAGAAACACACTCCAAGTTGGCAATCATATTCTTCCACTATTTTTCCTCTGGATCACACTTTTATGGCTGACATCAAAAACTAGTAACAATCTTAAATGTATCAATCAAGAACATTTGTAGCCTTATTTCTATGGAGTTGCGATAAGCAGTGTGATGACTTTAAGAACCTATGCTTTCACTTGTAGTATCTTAGACCAGGCATAAGCTAGTTATGTATAATGTTTAATTATGTTAAAATTATTTTAAGTCTTAATCACATTAATATTATTTTTAGTCTTTGTGGGGGAATGGAATGGGATCAGGATGGTGACTATTTGGCCATCATAACTCCTAATAGCAACACTGTTTTGCTGTGGGAGTGTCATGCTAATAAGAGGATTAATATTGAAACTGGACTGAGAGAACCTCCTTCGTGTATAGCATGGGCTTATGGAGAACCATTGTTGGCTGTTGGTACTCAGAAGGGAAATCTTGCACTTTATAATCACCATACAACAAAGTAAGAGTAATTTCTTTTGCTGAAATAAATCATGAATTGTTCATATAATTACAAACTACAAGCAGATATGAACACAAATGTAATAAATGTCAAAGTAAATGGTATCATTATTATTAAAAAAAAATTTAAAGAAAAACAATTTCTATTGAATTTTATGTTACTTAAATAATTCATGAAACTAGTATTTCTATAAGTTCTATTGTATTTAAAACTTGAACTTGTTTGCTTTACTTAGGCTTTGGTTTGTATAAATGACTAGATTTGATTTTGAATTCGTAGGAGAATACCAATAATAGGTAAACACACAAAGAAGATTACATGTGCAGCTTGGAACAAAGACAGTATTCTAGTACTAGCATCAGAAGACAAAAGCTTGTCTATAAACAACTCAGATGGAGACACATTGAGAATGATATCTCTTAGAGATGCACCTAATGATTTGCAGTTCTCAGAGATGAAAACTGATGAAAGAGTTGCTGGAGAGAACACTGTAAGTTATCATAGGAAAGAGTATAATTATAGTTTATTTCCACAACAAAGTATATCTTAGAAGGTGAAGGTGTTAAGGTTACGGTGACTGTTATAACCAAAATAATTATGGTAAAACCTATTTGCATCCACTGGAGTAGCACCTTATATCTAACTGCTCAGTTCCATCTTTCTTCTCCCTATAACAAAAATTGAATAAATTCCTAAAAATATTTTGTGTGAATGAATAAATTGTAATAAACTTTTCTACAACATCAAAAGTTGAGGTTACAAAAATTTATTAAAATTAAATTTCCAGATAAGTTTGGTGGTTGGCAAGAGAACCCTTTACCTCTATAACCTACTGAACCCAGAGAATCCAATAGAATTAGCGTTTCAGCAGCGCTATGGGTCCATAGTATCATACAAATGGTATGGAGATGGGTATATCCTTATAGGATTTAGTGCTGGGTTCATCATTGCCATTTCTACACATATTAAGGAAGTTGGTGAAGAGCTGTTCCAAGTGAAAAATCATAAGGATAACCTGACTGATGTAGCGGTTTGTAATGGAATGGCAGCTTCTTGTGGTGATGGACAGTGAGTAGCTGAAATTGTACCACTTAAATTTTTGGCCATCATAACAGAATATTTTTTTGCATCATGCATTATCTTGGTGTAAAAATATGGATTGGACTAGAAGGCTGTTCACTTAAATGACAGCTTAGGCTGGTTTTATTGAGCATCCAATGCTAATCTTGACATACGATTGAGTAAGAACCCATCAATGAACGTATATGGCACATAAGATACATGTAGATGAAAAATACAGTTTATAATTGCTTTTAAGACCTATATAAAAGTTTAGTTTTTTGTTTGAATATTTTTCTTGCTACTATAATTTTTTATTTCAGACTAAAATTGATAGCAATATGGAATAATGGTGAAGTATCAGGGTCGGTTATGCCAGCCGGTGGAGCGGAGCGCTGTGCTTGGAGTTCAGACGGACGTTTACTTGCGACGGCTGGACGAGCGTATCTCAACGTGTATGTGACAGCTTTACCGCCATTACACGCAGCTTATGGCACCAGAGTCATTACATTGACTAGTCTTACCGAGGCCACCGTGTACCAATGTATCGCTGTTGGCGATGAACCAGAGCCTGTCAATAAATGTAAGAGTTGTTTAATAATTAATAGAAACATTTTGTCAGTTGGTCCCTAATAAAGTTATAGTATCTATCTACCTATTTTAGGAAAAGTGTGAGTCAGCTATGCCAGAAACCATATTTTTATGTTTTTAGTTTTTTAAAGGTGATCCAGAAATGATAGAAGTACATATTTTCTTTTAGGGCCACTTCGTTTCTTAACGTCACCTCTATCAATTCGACCTTATCACTGAAAAGTCATTCCAAACATATTTAATGTTTAAATTAACTAAAATAATAAAAATTCTCCAGCGGAGCCTACACCTCTAGCAACATACACGTTACCGACGGAACCGAGCGTAATTGCCTTGGGCGGGTCCCACGTGTGCTGTGCCAGTGGTACCTTGGCCTGGTTCTACCCCCTGACTGGTGGAGCCGCTGCTAGGAGACAGTATCCAGCTCCTATTGAGATGATCACCTTAGCTGGGGATTACGCCGCCGCACTGTTTCAAGGACGAGTCATGTTGCATGCGGTGAGTTATATGTGAAAAAAAAAATAACTATTGTATATTTCACTACTTATACATATATTTTTATACATTTATCTATATATCAGCAGTTTTTGAAATATAAATGACGAATGAATATCTACAAAAATAGGTCGTTAGGTCCTAGGTCATTTTAAACGGACCACAGAAGTGTTAAAAGGCCTCAAAGAGCCCATAGATTGCTAAGACCACTACAGATGGGGCCCAACAGGGCCGATGTTCAGCGGGGGTTGTGGGGCAAACGCAATAACCACAGCCCAGGCCTAGAGCAGAAAAAGTAATGGGTTGTTATTAGTCAGTCTGACACTCTTTCTCGCCTCACCCTAGCACTCCCTCTCACCTCACCCTCGGTGAGAGAAGTCGTTTGATGATTTCCCCACACCAAAAAGATCCTATATTTCATCTTTCTGTTCAATTTTCAAATTTCAAAAGCTGTTGTTCTATTGCTTTTTATTGAAAAAAGAATACTAACTATATATACTTATACTAGTTATACTTCAATTTTTTTTTAATTAGGTAGAATTCACACTAAAACTTGCTATTTCATACATATTAAAAAAATACTTATTGAATTTTATAATATTTTTTTATATTTAGTTGGAAAATATCCTACAGGCAAACGACACGTAAATTATAATTAAATCTAGCTACTCTCGCGCGGTTTCACCCGCTGCTCAGCTCCCACAGATCGCAGCGGGATGTTTTATAAGCCTTCCTGGATCACTATCCAGGAAGGCTTATAAAACATTGACCAATTTTTCTGTGTTTACAGAAAAATTGGTCAATTCGAAAAAGCGCTCAAACAAACAGACTTTACAGCTTTATAATATTAGTATAGATGATTGTGTATTTTTGTTTATCCATTAGATCGATCAAATAGATCCATCACAGCCGGAAAAGGAAGCCATGTTGTTTCCCGAGCCACACATGCAGGGCGCAAAGATTGTCGACATACATCTCACCAGTGATTTCTTCATATTCGTCACTGATGTAAGTAGTCATTTGAAAAAAATTTTTTAACAGTTTTATAACTTGATGTAGTCCAAAAAAAAAAATTCGACTTTTTAGTGCAATTAAATCCAAAAAATGGGTTTTTTTAAATTGGCAGCTTTTAAAGCTCGACTAATATACGTAAATCAAGTACATATAATTTATTGCATAGGAGCACTCAGGAACATTAACATTTTTTTTTTCATTCATTCATTCATACATTCATTAGAACAGAATTTTAGAAATCCGACCAGCGATTCCAAAGTTTGCCCCCTACATACAAACTTACAGATTACAAATTTTACCTCTTCATCATATTTTTTTTTTACTTGCAATAAACTAGTGCTTGACTGCGATCCCACCTGATGGTAAGCAGTGATGCAATCGTTGATGGTAAGGCGCACTAGTTTATTAAGAGCCTATTCACTCCAGCCTTGAAGACACCTAAATTGTATTCGGACGGAAAGACTGCAGCCGGCAAACTGTTCCAAGCCCTCGATGTATGCGGTATAAATGACGAGGCAAATCGCTTAGTCCGGGCCGCAGGTGTCTCAACAACGTAGGGGTGGATATTTGCCGTACGCGGGGTTGTCCGAAGGTGAAATTGGGATGGCGGAATCAAATCGTGCAATTCCTGGGCACACTCTCCAAAATGCATCCTGTAGAAAACCGCAAGGCTGGCTACTCTGCGCCTGTGCTCGAGACTTTGAAGATTGGACCCAACCAAATCTGGATCTCCAATCAACCTCTTTGCACGCCTTTCCACCGAATCCAAAGCCGCTAGGTGGCATTTTGCAGCACCAGCCCATATATGGCTGCAGTACTCCACACACGATCGGACCTGAGCTTTATACAACATTAGAAGCTGACTCGGTGTGAAGTACCGACTTTTGCAAGAACGCCGAGTTTTCTAGCAGCTACCTTGGCTCTGGACTCAATGAATATTAGAATAGATTAAATGAATATCTATCGCTAGTTTATAATATTAGTAAGGATATTGTGTTTATTATTTAGTTATTTATCTTTATATCACAATATTAAGTCATTTATAAGCTAAGCTCCACAAAACCGTTGTAATGGTTTGACTACTCCACAGACGACGAGTCTCTTAACAAAGCTAAGCAAAGTTATCTATGAAAGACTTTACACATTTTTAGATCGATACGATATTTTATGCGAAGAACAGAAGGGCTTTAGAAAAAATAAAAATATCAATATGGCAATTTACGATTTCCTTTTCAAAATACTGCCTATTGTAGATGTTAAGACACCCATATGTGCAATCTATGCAGATATGTCCAAAGCGTTTGACTATGTTAATCACGATATCCTTATAAAAAAACTTGAAGCATACGGCATTCGAGGAAACGCACTGAATTTGATAAAATCGTATCTATACGGTCGCAGACAATGTACTGAGGTATCTAGAATATGTCTAAAAACAAAAAAGGAATTAAAATACAGATCTTCATATAAATTAATAAATTATGGCGTGCCTCAGGGTAGCGTTCTTGGCCCTTTACTGTTTTTATTGTATATAAACGACCTCCCCCGCCAAACACCTAATCCAATGGTATTATTTGCCGATGACAGTACGTCTTTAATAAAATGTACCAATAAACAAAATTATGAACAAGACATTAATAACACTCTTAGTTCTCTAATAATTTGGTTAAATCACAATAATTTAATAATAAATCATCAAAAGACTAAAGTTATGCATTTTTACCAAAGAGTCCCTCCTAATACCATGAATATAAACCACATTGGCCAAGCTGTTGGCACAGTAGATGTTGCAAAATTTTTGGGTATACTCATTGATAGCCGACTCACATGGAAGGCTCAAGCAGAGAGTATTTGTAAGAGGTTAAGTACATCTGCTTTCATGTTGCACAATTTGTCCAAAAAAGTGGACCTGCCTAGCGTGTTGGTTGCCTATCACGGACTAGTTATTTCACTTTTAAGGTTCGGTGTAATATTCTGGGCAACTGCAGCGAGAAAGAGAGTATTTTTAAAGCTCAAAAACGCTGCATCAGAGCTATTTTTGACCTAAAAGTAACTGACAGCTGTCTACCTATATTTAAGTCTCATAAACTATTAACCTTCCCATGTCTTTATATATTTGAATTATGTATATTTGTTAAAACAAACTCACACCTGTTTACAAGCTTGAAGGAAACTCGAAATAGAACAATAAGTATTAGATCCCAATACAAAAATATGTTAAGCACGGGTGTTTTCAAAACAACACTTTTAAGAAAAAGCGTTATTTGTATGGCGCCACTTGTTTATAATAAGCTACCGAATATTGTGAAGGAACAACCACTAACAAAATTTAAAAAGCACGTTACAGAATTACTTTTGCGCAAGTGTTATTATTCAGTTCAAGAATTTTTGGATGATAAGTTTTAATTAAATTTTTTAGTTTTAATTTTTTCATTTTAGTTTTTTAATTTTTAATTTTTAATTTATTTTAAATAAATTTGCATGCCAATTATGGTAGAATGTACAAGGAACCTTAAAACTGTGTAACACCAAATAATTTGTACCTACATTCTTTGCAAATAAAGAATTCTATTCTATTCTATTCTATTCTATTCTATTCTAAAAGCAATTAGATGAACTTATAATATGATAATTAGATGAAAAAAAATGTTATTCCCAGCAAGGTCACGTAGAATACTTCGGTGTGGAGGAGTGGCGTAGTTGCGCGCGGTACCGGCACGCGTGCGGCCTGCGTCGCCTGCACTGCGACATCGGCGGCACGCGCGCTGCCTTGCTCGACGAGCGGCGCCGGCTCGCCGTCTACTGCCCCGCCGCCGACCATATCGCTGCTGTCACTCGAAATGCTGCTACCGATGTCCGGTATGTGTAATTAGATGATTCTTTATAACTTCCATATAATATGAAGAAATGATTACGTCACAATTGTTTTTTGTGATTGTAAACGCACCCAGAACACAGGAGAAAATCCTAGTGTGGGATAACGTTTAAATAAAAATAGAAACCTACTACTTAACTTACTCAATTCAAGCATCTACTAATGATGGCCACCGATAAAGTACTGTTGAGATGATGATTCATCCACCTCATCATAGTTCACAAGTTACCGGAAATAAGCAAATTTCATCTACACTTTTCAGTTTGTTTCCCTCATTCATCTATTTATAGCGATGCTAACGATAACCAGCTACGCTTACCTACGATTCTAATTGGTGGCTTTCTTAATTCCATTCTATGAAAAAAGTCTTGAACATTTTTTTATGTGTTTTCATAAATGATTAATTTCTTTCAGGGGTATAATCTGGGATATTTGTCTCTCAGATCGCAACGTGTTCATAATATACACGGACGAGGCGATAGAGACGTATTACTACGCGGCTAACTCTATCAACGGGTCTCATGTCGACTTGGTCGGTACTACGCCGCTTATGGCCGGACAAATACCGCTCATTTTGTTCTCTGGCGATGTCTATTGCTACGCTAATGCTGGGTCGTAAGTATTTTTATATACTTTTTATGTGTAATAGGATAATAATCTTCCAGCCAAATTCAAAGTCAAACCAATTAATTTATTTCAAATAGACCATAACATGCATTTTTGAAAATCAAACAAAAAAGATAATGTCTGAACCTCCCAAACCGGCAACCTTTTTCGACATTTCTTCTCAGAGTAGTTAGATAGATAGGAAATGCTTCATCTAGTTTTTTAAATATAATTTTGACGCGTAGAAGGGCTGTTTTATGGCCTGTTTGCAAAAATAAACTCATTATTTCAAAATCTAAAAAAGTGTGGGAGAGCAATTCTTCGTCATGAATGGGTCGGCTCGACCGGAGTGATACCACGGCCTCTCAGAAAACCAACGTGAAGCAGCATTCACGTTGTGTTCCGCCGTAGTGTGTGAGGCTACCGGAGGCCCATTTCTTTCTACCTCCCTCCCTCCATCCTCAATTCTCAAATCAATCCCCTAATCCTTAAATCCCTAATAACCCACAAGAGGTCGACAACGCACTTGTAGTAACTCCTTTTGAGCTACGAGTGTCCACGAGCGACGCTGATTGCTTACCATCAGGTAATCTGTCTGCTCGTTTGCCTACCTGTGACATAAAGAAAACCAAAGTGAAATGTTTAATCATTTTTTCTTCAGAGTACTAAAAATGGCGTTAGACTCCCACAACACTGGTGGCCTAGCAGACGCGGATACGGAGAAACGTCTAGCCAACCAGCGCCGCCATATAGAGAAGTTGTTACTGCTGAGGCGGTTCAGCGAAGCCTGGTTGTTCTGTGATGCTGTGGACGAAGTCGAGCTCTGGAGGAAGATGGGAGAAGCCGCTATAGCTGACCTTAATGTTGAGTTTGGTAAGTTTTTGTTATAAAACATTAGGCCCAATCCTTTCCCCCCATACTCAATCCCCAATAGCTCACAAAAGGGCGGCAATGCATTTGTAGAAACTCCTTTGGAATAAATGAGTGTCTATGGGCAATGCTGATTGCTTACCATCAGGATAACAGGTCTGCTCGTTTGCTGACCTACCGCATAAAAATGTAATGAGTTTGTATTGCTAACTACGCAAAATCAATCCATTTTTCGATTTCTAAAATTCCCTATTTTGCTAGATATATGATTTTTCTGGTAGGTAATGTATTAACTACCTTATATCTGTTATTTCGCGAAAAAGTACATTTTTTATAATAATTATTTTTGAATGCGTTGATTGCAATATTCGTTGGTTAAGTAGAAATGAGATTTTTGTTATTTTTGTCTCTGTTTTGTACATAGCAATTCGTGTCTATACGAGGCTCAGTGACGTAGCTATGGTTTGGGCCTTGGAAGATGCGTCGCATATTGAAGATTTGTCTATATTATGGTGAGTTCATTTTATCACTTTATTTTGATTAATATAAATCAATTTTTTTAGACAAGTATTTAATTGTTAATGTACAAAAAAACACAAAAAATGTTAGACTAGTAACGCCATCTATTGAAACTTTATGTGGTTAATAAGTGAAATTAATAGTTTATACTCTATGTCAATTTTGTTTGTGTCGATTCTTACTCTATTACTGGTCAATTTAATCATGCCAACTAAGAAATGACTTTTTTTTTGTGAGGGGAAAATCATCAAATGACTTCTCCTGCCCAGGGTCGGGCGGGAGGGAGTGTCAGACTGTCAGACAAAAAACCCCCTGTTCCTTGCTCTGGGCCGAGGTCGCGGTGCCTCATTGCGCTTAACCCGCAACCCCGGCTGAACTAAGAAATGACTGAGGTTCTATATAGTATTTAAGTCAGAGTTATTTATTGGTGTTTATATCCATAGTGGCATGCTCTGCGCATGCGTGGACAAGGGGGACGCGGCCGTCCGGTGGCTGGAGGGTGGCGCGGGTGACGGGGGCGCGGGGGCGGGGCGCGGCGCGGATGGCGCGGGCGCGGGGGCCGGGCGGGGCGCGGAGGGCGCGGGCGCGCTGCATGCGCTGGCGCTGCACTGCGCGCGCGGGGACTGGGCGCGCGCCGCCACGCTGGCCGAGCGCGCCGCGCCGCGGGCCGCGCCAGAGATCACCAGGCATCGCGCGCACCATCTCGAACTCACGTACTTACTTTCTTCTTTATTTATATTACCCACTAGCTGACTCGGCAAACTTCGTACCGCCTCGATTTTTTTTTAATTAACCCAGTCATACTTTCTGTCCTTTTAAACCTTCCCTGTATATCCAGGAATATTTCAAGACCGCAATAAGCCATGTCGGTCCAGCCTTTCTCTAGTTTTAGCGAGATTAACGAACACCAATTCATTTTTATATATAACATTACCTACATATGTACATTATGACTTTCTTATGTGACATAAGAACGGACAACATAGTTAACTAACTGACCTGGCGAACTCCGTACCGCCTCAATTATAGCTATTTGTTTTGGCCTTTCAAACCTTCCGTAAACTTCCACGAAAAATTCAAGGCCAAAATTAGCCAAATCGGTAAAGGCATTGTTGTATGTCTGAAATAAAGGCTAAATAAAAAAGTTACTTTACCTAATTATCAATAATTAACACTTAACTTTATAACACATTTTAATTATTTATTCCTTCCAGAGCGGACTATCACGAGGCTCTAACAAACTACGAGAAAAGTCTGATCACTGAAAACACAGACGACATCAAAGTAAAGGAACACAATGATAAATGTGAAGCGGGGATCGCACGTATGGCGATACGATGCGGTGACGTCATGCGGGGGCTGACAACTGCCATGAAACATTCACACGACATCATGCTTATAAAGGAATGCGCACAACTATTGGAAGAAGAAAAACAGTACAGTCACGCCGCAGCCCTATACGACCATGCAGGAAACACAGAAAAGGCAGCGTCCCTATACATCAAACTGAAATCCTGGCTCAAGGTCGAAGCCCTGCTCCCAAAGATAAACTCACCCAGCATACACATACAATACGCGAAAGCTAAGGAAGCCGAAGGTAGATACCAGGATGCCTTAAAATCCTACCTCAAAGCCCAAGACTACGAGGCAGCGATCCGACTAAACCTAGACAAATTAGACGATATTGATGAAGCAGTCAATTTGGTTCAAGAAACAAAATCTATTCAAGGAGCCAAAATGGTGGCGAATTACTTTCAGAATAGCGATGACCCTACATCCGCTATAAAGTTCTTGGTCATGTCTCTGTGTTATGACGAAGCCTTCCAATTAGCTAGGAAGAATGGTAAACTGCAGTTGTATGGAGAAATATTGATACAGACGTCGCAGGCAAGGCCGGAGGACTTTAAGAGCCTAGCGTTGCATTTTGAAGGAGAGAAGAACCATTTGTTGGCTGGAAAGTTTTATTTTCATGCCGGGGAGTATAATAAGACGATGTCACATCTGTTGAGGAGCGGTGGGTCAGAAGAAGAGGAGAATGAAGCTATTAGTATCGCTATTGATGCTGCCGCTGCTAGTGATGATGAGAGATTGAGTCGGAGGTAAGAGCAGTTATTATTTTCGGTCTACTTGACATTAGAAAACATTTGTTTTCTTGCAGTACTAATCAAGTCACAATCCAAACCCAACTCCTTTTATACTAAATCAGCTAGTCCCCAATCCTCAAATCTATAACATCTAAAAGGCAAATCCTCGTCGTAGCGAAACTCTTTTGTCGTTGGTGGTTTTTACCATCAGGTGATACCAGGTGATACGTATGCTCACTGGCCGAGCGATTTTTTAGATCTTTCTTAATCTCTATACATGAAATAATCAATGCCCCACTCTCTTCTTACAATTTGTATGCTTTAAAAAGGAAAATGATTACATTCTAGGTTGATCGAGTTCCTTCTTGGAGAGACTGACGGTACTCCGCGTGAGCCACGACACCTGTTCCGATTATACATGGCCAAAAGACAGTTCGCCGAAGCGGCTAAAACAGCGGTAGGTAACTTTAAGTTGTCTTTGTTAAATATTAACACTAAAGTCGGTTAAGGATGGTTCTATCGTGAAGATTTTTAAATGAAAAACAGAATTCGACAATTTTATTCTTAGTCCTTATTTTAAATTTTATGATTATTGTTACAGTTACTTCTTTATATATTATTACTTTTAGATAAAGTTAGAAACTATTGTAATTTTGTAGATAATAATAGCGGGCGCGGAATGTCGCGCGGGCGCATACCGCGAGGCCCGCGACGTAGTGCGCGCCATGTGCGTGTCCCTGCGCGCCTCGCGGCTGTCTGTACCCAGGGACATGAGACACGCCATAGCGCTGCTACACAGCTACATACTGGTAAGTTGTACACCATTATAACGTATCCGACCTAACATGGGTCACAATAACTTATAACAACTCTGCTAGGCCATATACATATTGCTACCCGTATTGCTTTACAATGCCTGTATTAAATTCTTCTACACTTAAACTCCATCCAAAGGTTGGAAGAATTGTTTAGCAATAAGACTGCCAATATGCTTTTTGTATTTGTACTTTCCTGTGTTTTTTATTATTATTGTGTATCTATACTAATATTATAAATTATAAAGAGGTAAAATTTGTAAGTTTGTATGTAGGGGGTAATCTTTGGGACCGCTGGTCGGATTTCACTGATACTATAAAACATCACGCTACAATCAAATGGAGCCGAGCAGCGAGTGAAACCGCGCGAGAGTAGTTAGCTAGTATTGTAATAAAGAATATTTTGTCTATTTAATGAATCGTGCTAGGCCATCCGGTGCAATGTAAGGCCACTCTGATTTATTCTGACCTGTTCCTATTTTAAAATGGACGCTTTTAGATTTTTCAACAGTTGTAATAAAATATGTTATATTCTAGGTCCGTACCCACGTGAAGCGAGGTCGCCACGACCTGGCCGCTAGACTGCTCCTGCGCACTGCGGCCGACGTTACGTTCTTCCCCACACCGCAGCGTTAGTATATACAATGAAATTAACTATGATTATATGAATGGACTGCATGTCTCTCTCTCTCTCTCTCTCTCTCTCTCTCTCTCTCTCTCGCTCTCTCTCTCTCTCTCTCTCTCTCTCTCTCGCTCTCTCTCTCTCTCTCTCTCTCTCTCTTTCTCTATAGGTGTCTCAAGTCTTCATTTACGCTCTACAAGATAGTAGTTGAGTTGTTCTTAAATAGTTAATATAATACAGTAATTTTATACGAATAAACACTAATAATTTATATCATTTGCAGATCAAGTATCTATCCTGACATCGACAGTTATCGAATGCGGTCGTGCTGGCTTGAAGCATCAAGCGTTCCACTGGGCAAGAGTTTTGATGCAGCCTGAATATCGTTCACAGGTATTTTTAATAAAAGCTGGTATAAGAGAAAACGCGAAATCTGGTATTTCTGGGGACAATGGGCTGTAGTGTGTAAACCGACACTAACCCCGACATACCTTAACATGTACTTAGTCTTTTTTTTCTCGTGTATTTAAGGAATTTTAATAAATAAAGTATTAGTCAATTCCATCGTAGCCTAACTAAACACATATGATTATTAATTATGGCTTACGGCTAAATACAATGAACATAGCTTTAGCAGCTTCCGATAAAGGAGAGGATCTCGTGGAACATACCCACACTGGTGATGTACATCTTCAATTACTCAGCACACATGACATTTTGGAGACTCTGATCTCTTCATCGTGTTTGCAAATTTCTTCATTGGGACATGGCCTGATCTTAGTCGAAATGTACTTACACCCGGTTTACGAAAGGCTGTGATCAATGTTAAAATCAATTTAATCTCTTGTCAAGTCATCTGATTAGTTGACTGAATTATCAACAACCAATCAGATGACTTGACAAGAGATTTGACACCTAGTTAGTTGATTTTAACATTGATCGGGCTTTTGGAAAATTAGTCTGTAAGCTGAGTTAATCAGTACAGTCTAATAAACGTCTTGGACGCAGCTCGTCTTTATCATTTCCGACACGATCGCTTACCTTTATTTTGTCCTCAATTTCCCAATAAAAATGGCCAGTAGGCCAATAATCTACCAAATGATTTAACCAAAAGTTTTGTGTCCATTCTAGAGGATTGTAAAAGACAGGCTATAATGAGGGTCGACTTCCGAAGATAGAATGATAGAAGAAATAAGTTGAATAACTGAATTCCATAAACCTAATGGACGTTTTGGAGACTGGCAATAAATAATACCTAAATGTTAGTTTGTCAGAATGTACGCATGTATGTTTGTTATTATTTGGCGCAAAAACGGCTGAAACGGTTTGGTTGATATTGGGTATGTAGATTATTGATACCCTACATTAACACACACACTTTTACAGCTTTTAATCAACATACCTACCACGACAGAAATGTTAATTAACTATGAAAAATGTAAATGTGTTTAAGTGTAAGTTTCTTTCTAGATAGATCCAAAGTACGTGAAGAAGATAGAGAGCGTAGTACGTCACGGGGCGCGCGAGCCGGCCGCGGCGCCGGTGACTTCCCCGTGTCCCCAGTGCGGGGCCGACCTGCCCATCGCAGACCTCACCTGTACGCACTGCGAGGTCGACGTGCCCTTCTGTCTGGCTTCTGTAAGCACTATATAAGTACTAGAAATTTGTTATGGAAGGAATATCATATACCTTATTCCCTAATAAACTAATATTATTCATCTTGATTATACATGCAGTTTAATGGAGATATGTTATAAGTTAAATATAATGGAAACTATTAAGACTTAAAGGTCTAAAACCTAAACAATTATGTTTTTTTTTAAGTAATCTTCAATTTTATGATCGATATTTTATTATGAAAATTTAAAATTGCTTCCTGACTTTGTAAAAATGTTTTACCATGGTATGTTACTTATGAGAAAAAACTTCATTTCAATATTTATTATATTATACTTAAAAAAATATATTAAACAGGGTGGCGTAGTCACTCGTAAAATGTAAATAAGTATTTTCCAATATTAAAATTTTGCGTGATGCTCCTGAGGTAGCATTGCATTTTTTAAATCTTATTTTTTACAGGGTCTACATATCGTCAAGGATGATCTGACAGCGTGCCCAGAATGTGATTTCCCAGCTATTCTCACCGAATTCGTAGAGTATGTTTACTTTTATTAACAAACTTTTATTATAGTTCTTATTTGTGGTGAAAGTTCAGTAATGGTCTTACCAGACTCTTGCTAATTTAGCCAATTCGCGATTTTGAGTCAATAGTAGAAATAATTACCCCCTGAAATAAATCGAACCAGTCTGACCCCTATTTGCTGTCCCCCACTAAATACCACCACTGATCCGAAGTTCGAGCCCCACAGAGGGCGCCCGCAGCGATGTGATCATTAAGTTTTAAAAGTAGATTTTGTTATCCTACCTAGGGGCTAAGAATAAAGAGCCACCGCCTAGCCGTAGCATGTAGTAGTGGCCCTATTCACAAAAAAAAATGTGATGAAAGTATGTACCTTGTACATAATATTTCATACAATATATTTAAAAGTCGCCAATAAAATTAGTTCTGATTTTTAATTAAATAATAGTTCTTAATTTTTCTTAATGATTTTTCAATTTTAATATTGTTTTACAGGATTCTCCAAGAAGAGGGCAAGTGTCCGATGTGTAATGAAAATGTAGATTATCGGCGATTGGTCAAGATCGACGACGTTGCTGCGTATATGGACCTTAGCACTACGGAATAGAGTTCCGATTTGCTCGTATTTTAGTATGAAGGACATCATATTTTAGTTTTATATACTGTTGTGTCGGAGATAAATGTTGTGATTTCTGTAGCCATCCTACATTGCATTTAAAAAGGAATAAGCACATTAATTAGCACCTAACATTTGTACTAAACCATATAAAGCCTACACAATGAAATTAAACACAAAATCGTCAAACAACGATGAAACATAACTAAATAGTATTTAAAACTAGATGCCATCAACATTATACACATTCAAGGTCGTGTTAAGCAATACAAGTCGGCAATAAAATTCAAACTGATACACTATTACAACGTGTATAGAGTTGAAAATCGTTAATCGACTGCAAATGATAAGCTTTAAGAAATCCCACCGTTATCTTACAAGGTTAGTTAATTTGATTATTTTCTTCATAAACGCCTTGAGATAGATAACAGGTTGCAACTAGTTTAGTGTTGTTTTATGTGATAATATTGTGATTAGGAAATTGTCCGTCCAATTACTACGTAGAGTATTGTTAGCCTTATTTTATAATAAATAGTAATTAATTGTAGAATTTATAGTTATGGTATAAGTGCCCACTGCTGAGCAAAGGCCTCTTCTCACACAGAAGGTTTTAACATTAATCAACACGCTTGTTCAAGGAAGATGGGCGATTTCAAGCTTATAATTTAAAATTATAAGTTCAGGTTTCCTCACAATATTTGTCTTCAGCGTATGTCAGTGGTATCTTAATAATCATAGAAAGATAATGTTCTTAATACGGTTTAATTCATACTAGCACAGATAAAGAAAAGACGCTCAGCGAAGCAACGAAGAAGAGCGATCTTGACGTTCTCAGAAGGAATATGTGCCGTATTTTTCGGGTTTAAGAGTGATTATGCTTTGCATGGACTCTGCGCTAATATGAATTGACACCTTATAATTGTATCCGTCCATTTTTTATTGAAGCATTTTTAATGTTTTAATATAGTTATGTTAGTAACTGAAATTGATATGATGGGCGTCGACAGAATTCGATTCAAAAGGAGCTTATAAATAAGTTTTAAAAATGTAACAAGTATTTGTAAGAATTTTTCTAAATTAATGTATTTAGAATTTCAAAGTATTTTGTGCGCCCTGCCCTCTTTGGTGAACCAAAGAGGGCGCGCTAAAACGACTTTAAATTAGGACTGTTAATAGAAAATATGTGTAGTTTACACGATTTTCGTCATAAATATCAGTTTGTCGGCGCCCATGTCAAAATTAATTTAATATTTAATGTTAAATTTTTATTTATTAAAACATTGTTAGATTTATGATGACGTATTTATAAGAACATTTATAAAATAAGGGATCTGTATGAAAATAAAATAAAATGCAAATATAAGTGATGAAACATTTAATTTTTCATTTGAAAGTATACCAAGTTGTAGTTACACGTCCGATACTGAGATTCAAATGAAACGCGAAACACAATTGTATTATACAAAACCACAGCAAGTTGGTATTCGGCACTCATTCAACTGACTAGGACATTATAAAGGAATCTTCGTGTTATTAAGAAGTAGGTTATACAAGGCTGCGAATATTGGCATTTTGCTGCAAGAATAAGCAAATGTATGTACAAAAGTTTTTCAAATTAATGCGTATTTTACAAAAAGTTGAAGGTAAGAAGGTTTTTCTGAATAGTCTAGTCCAATGAGCGACGGCACCAACGCGCCACCCCCTGACTGTTACTCTACAATCAAATATTGCCCTAATTACCACTACCTATCTATGCCTTAAGTAGACAATACATTTATACAACTTAAAATAATGACAAGACGATTATAACAAAATAATACAATTGTTAATTATAATAAACAAATTAGTCGATTGTGCTAATATTACACGTGGAGGCTACAGACCGCTATACGCGACTTTCTATTTTAAAATTCAGCTAGAATTCAGCTAATTTTAACATTGACCGCCTCTTGTTCCACTATCCCATTAAAGATAAAATCTAATATATTTTTTATCTGGTAAATAGTTGCTAGAGTCTTGGTGTCGCGAAACAGGGGGTTTAACTTTCGGTAAAATTACTATTGCTACTAACAAACAATATAAAACTTAACGTTCATTAACATAAGATCCAAAATGGCTTCTCGTATTAGGCTGATTGTTTTTAGGTAGTGTTTTTTACATATAGTTTAGTCGACGAGTGATAAGTTCACTCTGTCGTACATTTGTAGGCATAAATATCAGGTAAGATTTCGATATACATCTATAATGAGCTCCATACATAAATCTCGCTTCCCTTTTCATAAAGTAAAAGGGTAAGTGATTTTAAATATCAGTGTGATCCATACTTTTACAGGATAATTTCGAAGAGTCACAATTACAATTTTTGCAAAAATGATATCTAAAGTACAATAGAATAAGATACAAAATCGATTAATGAAATATAAAAATTGGTGTTACACTCTCTTTGCGATGTAAACTATATCTAAATGACGCACGGATGTATTTCGATTAGTATAAAATCTTTACAATATCATGGAACGGATGACACGCTAGTGAGTTTGGTTCAAGCGCTAGTCTTCTATGAGAACACATTCAATTCAAATAATCGCCATATTGGCCATTGTAAACGTAATCATTCGATAATATTTCGTCAAAAGAGTGGATCATGTCGACGTAGGTACCGATGGACGAATAATGAAAACAACGAAAATAATAACAATCGAACATAACACAGTACAAGATTACGCTCCATATAAATATATGTATCAACATTCATAAATACCAGTGTTAATAAATAATCTGATTTCAATATAATATATGCTGGCCGGATGATTTTGTATTTACGCGTCTGGTCCACTCTTTTAACTTGAAAATAGCTCTCGTAAAATATTTACAGATATATAATATAAAAATATATTAAAATCATAGATACGATGGCACTTGGTTGCGTTGTAAAAGGGTTGAAATTACGATACAAGTATTAGAATTAAATAAATTTGCTACAACGAACAGAACAAACCGCTACGCCGGGCATATAACAGTAAAGTAATACCAATAATAATAATGATCCGTGAAACGCATGCTATACTAGCTTAATAAGGGAATGTATAAAAATTAGTTTCAACTATATCAATGTTAACTCCTCAACAATAAATACTATAAATCTTTGGTTTCATTTAGTCGCTCGATTTCGAAACGTTTCTCGGCTCGGGCGCGGTACGGCGAGCTACTGCAGGTGCGCCAGACGCTTGGGCAGCGCCGCGACGACGCGCACGCGGTCGCTGAACTGCGGCGGCGGCGCCAGCACCGGCGCCAGCGCCGCGCCCAGCCCCAGCCCCGGGCCCGGCTCCGGCGCCGCGCCCTCCTCCGGCGGCGGCGGCAGCGCGGCCAGCAGCACGGCGCCGCGCGCGCGCCGCCCCGGCGCCTTGTCCACGTCCACGCCCAGGCGCTCGGCGGCCGACCGGCCGCGTCCGGCGCCGGCGGCGGCCGCCCGCTTGCGCGTCAGCGAGTTGTGGCGCGCCATGGGCGGCGGCGGCGGCGCCAGGCTCTCGCTGGACGAGTGCACGGGCTCCGTGCTGATGACGTCGTTGGACGACTTCACGGTGACGGACGCGCAGAACGACACCTTGTCGCGCCGCGGCGGCGGCCGGGCCTGCGCCTCCTGGTCCGACGACACGCCCGACGACGAGTTGTCGCCGTCGTCGCGCTCCGCGCCCAGCTCGTCGCCGCACGACTTTGACGACTTCAGCCGAGTGCGGATCTTCTGGATCTCGTCCACGGAGAACGAATGCTGCATCGAACTGGAACCCGAGCTACTGCCACTGGAAAGGTTAACAATTTAATTTATATATTTCTACCAACACACTGATCTCACAAATATATTCTTGTTTTTGAAAATGCTTTTTCAAAGTTATTAACTGCCACATAAATATTAATTCCACACTAAAATGAGCGCCGCTAATAGTATTTAGGAGAGTATAAATGAAGAAAATAGTATTTTAAATAAATACATAATTTGAAACATGACAATGATTTAAGTTAATCACTTTGAACCTCGTGAATAATGTTCTCTTCCTACATTTTTAGATAACATATTGAGTGCAATGTGTTTTAAACTGTTTCTTTTATAGACCCAACTCCTTCCACCAGACACAAACGCCCATAAAAAGACTTAATAAATAATATAAAGTTCGTTCTGTCGTATCTTTTAGCGAAACAATGGACAAAATGAAAATGACTTCCTTCAATGACACAAAGAAACGTTTGTGATTTAGTGTTGAGACAAATGCAAATCGTGATAGTGACCGTACAAACACAGAAGCGCTTTCCCAGCGACACGTAATTCATGTACAATTGAACTATACCTTATGCGATAACAATCAAAGTTCAAAATTAACTATTTATTCGGCATCATGCTCATATATCGTTGCGTATATTGGCATCCTGAAAATGTTAAATTTTATTAAGACGTTGCATGTTTTTGGTGTATTTTGTATTATTAAACTGTGCAATATTGCATTATAAAGTTACTTAGTTAAAGAGACAGGTAGTTTCAGTTAGCTTACGAGAAATATTTAGAACAATAGAACCATAATAATATCACGAAGGCACTAAAACAACATGGCGTCACCAATATTTGCCCAACCATTTGACCAAATCGACGTCATAAAAGCCAAAACTAAACTCAATCTTATTGCTAATAGATATAAGACTTACCTAGCGTTGCTGTTGGCGCTGGTCTCAGCGACTGCGGCGGGTTCACCTTTGGGTTTGGAATCTACTTCATCATCAGATTCTGACATGCTATAGTCCGGCTCGGGAATTGGTGGCGCTGGTGTAGAATTCTGGAAAATAGACGTTATTATATGTATTATATTAAATCTGTTTGGAATCAGTTTTGCGCAGATTGATAAGGGGCATATAATAAAAGGAATTTCTCCTATGCCGTTGGTGCGTTTACAAACATACACACGGACACATCACACGAAGATCCGGAACAAAAAATTGTGGATCATATAGAGTACCTCTGTGAAAGAATCAACCATACAGATAAAGATGGAGTTTCTTGCTTGTTCTTCTCCATTCGAATCTACACTTTGGAACAATCATCTAGGAACGAACTGACAGTCTACCGTTCTTTCGGGTTACTTTGCTCCAAACCTTTTAACCAATAATAACCTAGGACCAAACGTATAATGGTTTGGAAGTTTGGATGAAAGTTACCTGCCAGGGCAAAAGTAACACGAACTTACCGGTATTATTCTGTTTTGACATTTCAAAAGTACCTATTAATATGGTTTAGTGGAATGATTTTGACTCAAATTACCTGTCTAACAAAGCCCTTATGCGTGTTGAAGGGCTGTGCGTACTGGTTGCCGGTTTCGTCAGCCGATTGGGGCCGGTTAGGACCCGCCCAAGACCGTAACGATGTCGCTTTACGACCCTGGAAATACGGTGTAAATTTAGATTAATATGTAATCTAGATAAATATGTAACGTGTATGGTGGTTTTAAAGTTCCAAGTTTAAGCAAACTTTTTAGAGTTTTATCGGATAGGTCGGCAAACGAGTTGACGGATTACAAACACGAAAGGACTGCATAGCCGGTCTTTTGGGATAAGGGTTTCTGTGAGGCCTTAGTAACACTCCGGTCGAGCCGACCCATTCGTGCCGAAGCTTGGTTCTCCCATAATTAAAATCAATAAAGCAATCCTCTTTATAATACAAAAAAAACAATTACACAACAGCAAAAAATAAAGTCGCCGGTGTAGTTACTCACATTGTGCGTGTTATCGGTGGTTGTTGGTCGGTATGCGACGGTCTCCAGGTCTCGTGGCGAGGCGTATAGCTTGGCCTGGTCCGCCGGCCTGAACGTAGACGCAGGCACTGCGCCGGTTATTGGCGGAGGAGGAGGAGGACACGCTGGAGGAGGCACTCGTCCTGGAGCTGGAGGTATAGAGCAACGACTTTACTTGACTGTATTTAAACCCCGACGGAAAAGAGGGTGATCCGAGTATTCAGCAAGCTGAAATTCATAGGTGCATCAGGTATGGTAAGGTAAGCTCTTTTGCTCACGGAAAGTAAGACTCTCTTGTAAGGTTTTGGACATACAATTTCGTACAATATTATTTTCGGGCATTTTCCTCGGTTGTAAATAAATTCCATTAAGATTTCAATACAATTAAATACATATATTAAAAAATAACGTAAATACAATTCATTGATGGATTTGACCATAAACATAATATTAGATTTTTATTGGTTACATTTTAAGAAAAAAGTATGCTGTTTGACTCAAAAATATCATGACGTCACCTTTCTGTTTTCCATACCAAATTCATAGAACAGTTTCATTTTAAGCGTTTGAATAAAACTATTGAATTTGACTAGTTGTTAAATACCGTATATTTTATTGTTTGAAAATTCAAAACGTGTTCGTTTTGTTCCAAGCAGTTACATATGCATTAAAGGTCATGAAACGACTAGACTTCGGCGTTGTGTGCGAAAGACTTTTGAATTAAATGATGTGTGTTTTAAATAAACTTATTTTTTAATACATACCATGAACATCTTCGCTGGACCGGGTCCTTGGTGGGTGTGCAGTATGCTCGGCGGCCAGGTCCGGCGTGGAATGGAAGTCGCGCCGTAATGTACTACTGCCTGACTTGCTCCACAGCTGGACAATACAGAAGAACACTTATTATACTACAAATGAAACATTCAAGTAATTTCTAAATATACTGCATTTTAAACAAAGCCGGGTATTATTAAAAAAATATGAATGACAATAATTGTCTTTTTCCTTAACGTATTAGTTAGGTAATAATTTTGACAATTGAAAATGGAATTACGTTTTAAAAATCCGTGCTCTATAAAATCTGAAACGATCGGATGAAAATAATACTCATGTGTATTATTTTATTGCTCTGCTAGTTTTAAGTTGCAACGACACTTTTATTTAAGAGGAGCGTAGTAAGCCATTATTTTTAATTTAGTATGCTTTATTCGTCAAATTGATTATACAGGTACACGATATCTGTCATCGATATAGTACACGTATAATAAGCAGTATACCTTTCCACGTGACCTCTTCATTTCGGCGACAGATGCGTAAACTCTGGTCGGCGCCCGCGCAGGTGAGTAGGGAGGAGAGTTCGATCCCCCTTGGAATGCTGACCGAGTCATCATTGCATTGTTGCCAAGGCTGAAAATTATAAGTGTGGATTACAACAAATAGTGGATAGAAGGGTTTAAGTGATACTGATAGTGTTACAGTGTGATTTAAACGAATGTTCCTTGCATGTATCAAGTGTGTCAAGAATATTTCTTATTCAAGTCAGTTTTAAGCTTCGTAATAAGCTTCATGTAGCGTGGGAAGACTTCACGCTAGGTGGGCCCACGACACCTCGTCAGAGTCGCGGGGAGTCAATGGATGTAGGTGGCGACGTTTAACGACCGGCGTTGAGAACTAAAGTGGGAGGCCTTTGTCCAGCAGTGGTCGTGTTCCGGCTGATGATGATGATGATTAATAATCTGCACGTGATAAATTTTTAACCATAACTAGACTAGAGACTAGAATATAGCATACTCTCGTACCTTATACTAAAACAAAATATGGGTTGTTATGTCAACGGATTATCAAGTTTTAATACATACATGGTATCTGCGTCAGCCTGTCTTTGGAACAGCTCCTCGAGCTCAGCAGCGGTGATGCGTGATGAAGCAGGCCTGGCGCGGATGGACGCCGTGCGGGGAGCCACCGGAGTGCCAGATACTGGTGTACCACCTGGTATATACGATCACATATTGTAAAATCATGCCCAGGAGTTAATTTTACTTCCGTACGGAAGGTACACAAGAGTGTTCTTAAGTGACAATTTCGCCTGACTTTATTAGAACTAGAATGTATTATATTTATTTTGAAACTATGTACTAAATATTCAATTATTATAATACTAAATATTAAATTACGTTAATGTTTTATAGATTTTTGGCTTCCATGACTCGAAAGAGTTGAAGACAGTTTGGGAAACTATCCCCCAAAAAGTTACGTTAAAAAGGTTGTTAGTAAAATGTTTGCTACGAAAATAACATTGCTTACTGTTACTTCCACCCGGAAGCTGCACTGATTCCGCGGACGACGACTTGCCAGCTACACTCAGAGGCTCACAGCTCTCTTCTTTTTCACCACCATTCTCTGAAATATCGAGTTTTCACAATTAAAACTAAAATAGCCAAACGCTGGATTTCACAAAATTATATAAAATGTGCAAAATAGGGAAATTTAATGTAGGTTATCAATTAACATACCGAGTCCAGCAACCATAGACTTGGCTCTAGCGCGTCCCACGCTCAAGGTAGTGCGCGGGTCGCGTCGCGGCGGCGCGGGCGCAGGTGCTCGACCTATAGAGAAATAAATAAATGGATGTTTATATTTTGCTAACACTAAAAACTTTATTTTTGTTAGTCGGCTTTAATGGAAAATAATTTGAGATACAATTAAATTAAGAACTAAACAACTAACTACTGTTTTGCATTTTATATTGTGCTTTTAGCATTTTATGCTGCTAATCGTTATGCTGCTCTACTAAAATATTGTTCAAAATGCTATTCACCTCCGGCACCCTTCCTGGGCAGAGTAGCGGCGTAAGGGCGACCAGAACTAGACAATTGGTTCTGAGACTTGCTTGTGGGTACCGTACACGTGTTGTTCTCGTTGTTACCTAGCAAAAATGGCTTTAAATATAGTTCGCACATAGGGAATTAGTGCTCCCGCTTTATAGTGAAGAGTCACAAGTTTACAATTGAACTCGTACGTGGAATTGACCGAGCTCTTGTGAAGATGGTCAAACAAAAAGTCACTAAACTACACAAATACAATTGTCTACTCCCTCATACGCATTGTCCGTCACGTCACGACCATTGAAGAGATCAGGTGCCGGAACTATTGCTTTGGGGAACTAAGGAAGCAACATCGATTTTACAACTCTGGACTACTATACAAACGCAGAAGTACTTCTCAACGTGCTAGTCGAGCCGTCACCATCTGCAGACCAGTCCGTTTCCAGCAATCGGAGGCTATGTATGAAATGCAAGAAGATGGGGTATTTACCATTGTGATTGTTCAACGAGACAACAGTCATGGAGACGAGTGCACCGGAGCTGCGGATCAGCTCCACCACGTGTTCATGCGACGCACACGACACGTCCTCGCCGTTTATCTGAAAGAGTGAGATACAAAGTTTTACGTACCATGGGTGGTGAAACGGAATACAGCAAAATATATAAAAATCTATAACAAACAAATAAAAATTTAACGGCCTTTTCAAAAAAAAAAAAATCGAAACGGAAGACTACACATATGTAAGTCTGTTCCTTTTTTAAATCAAAATCGAAATTCTGTTTAATATGTCTGTTAGGAGCGTTGTTTTTAAACTTAGAATTTTACAATTTACTTTTCGGTAACTTAGGAGCACGGCCATATTCGGCGGTTAAAGCTAAACTGATAGATTTGGCTGCGGACACTATTGTTTAACTGCCTTCAATGTTTGTATGTTTTGTAAAACAAAGTAGGTAACAAGAAACTGAATATTTTCTGAATAGTTTGCCTATTGAGATGTTTGTAATAGAACAGTAAATATTTGTCGTTATGTGTCCTACAAACAATATTATTTCCGACGGTAAAATGTAAGAACGATATATCCAGTTCATGCTCAATCATTTTAGGACTTGAACTTTACATTTAATTTAATTTTAATGTTTTATTCGACTTATAATCAGTACAGTGGTTTCTAGTGCAGGTACTTATACTTTCATTAATTGATTTTACGATACAAATTAATTTTAGACTTTTTTTTAAATAATTTTTAAAATTTTAACAATGCTAATTGTCGTAAAAACATTATGATATCACATTATGCGTGTAAAAATATATTACTTTTGATATTTTAATAAAAATAATGTTATTGACTAGTTGGAAACTAACGGATTGAATTGGTTAAGCCAAGACAGTTCATTACTAAAATGTGTTGTTCATATTTTAAGGAGGATTCTTATAAAAAGGAGGATCTTACCGCCACAAGAAAGTCTCCCTTCTTAAGACCAGCGCGGTCCGCCACACCTCCTGCGTCGACATCATCAAGGTACTGCAGCGCAGGGCAGCGCTCTGAAGGCCGTAGCTCCATGAGAGGGGAGGATGCCTTGGCACCGCGCAGCACGAACCCAAATCCACGTCGAGCTCGATGAAGGACTACAGTGCGAGTCTCCATATTGCCATATCTGATGAAGAATTTATCGTCCTGAGCATAGCGCATTTAGAGGTAAGGATTTCTTCAATTCTTTTTTTTTTTACAAAATTGTACAGTTATGTTTACTTCCGTACCGTGGTTGCATTTTTAAGTGCCAATTCTTATACAACAACACACAATTCATAGACTCGAAAAACAATTTTAAAACTTCCGATAATCCAGTACTCAAAATCCGTGGTTGGTTACACATTTTATATTCTTACTAAAACGAGGAGAATGTAAGTGCTATGAGTATTTTGCATTGAAAATGATGCCTAATTTAACTCTGTTTTTAATATGATGTGGCATAATTAAATAAGTAATATCGGCAATCTTAGTAAATACTTGTTACTAAGAATACTTGGAGGTGATAGAATACCTACAAATGAATGAAGATACAAGGGAATGTTGTCCTTTAAACAACAATGCCATACTTACATCTTTTCCAACATAGACGTGAGATCAGCCAGTTCCTTATTATAAATCCCCATCTTTATACAATAAACACTTGGCAATTTTTAAAATTAAATTTAAAAATCCAATGAATTTTTCACCAATATATATGTGAGTAATTACACTATGTTTTAGAATAAAACATTTTTAATTATCTGCAAGTATTATCACTCATATAAAATATCACCTTGCAGCACTGTCACATCCGAAAGGTTTTGTTTATTTAACATATTGTGATCTGTGCCGTGAATGTTATTGTTTAACACAAGCAAAGTATTGTCAATTGTAGTCCCGTTTAGATTTACACACATTAAGATATGATGTTGATGAATCATAGCATCTGTTTTATAAGGAACTAGGTAGTCTAAACTAACAATAGTACAACAGCGTTATAACATCAAAGTGTTAAATAGGGAGAAATGACCTTATTGTTATCGAGTCAAAGTTCAGATTCGTTTCGCGTTTTCCCTGTCCTTTTATCAAAAAATGAGCTGTCTTTCTATTTCTGTCTCTCTTTCATTTTATTTAAAAGGTATTTTTTAATACTTAGACTTAATATACTTACGACTTTTTAATCCTAGGCGCAGTAGCACTGTAAGTCTTGCTGAGCGCCATTTCCCGTCTGCCAGTCACTCGGGAATGGTGGATTGGTCCTGACGCTAGCACCTAAAAATGGTCGATTAAATGTTAGTAGGCGCGTACTTTCATTTTGGGCTTGTTTTATGATTGAATAGAGTAAAAAGTTAACTTTGAAGAAGAGATACGTATCTGGCGAATAGTATCTTTTCTTTGACAGAAAGAAAAAAAAAAGCGTGAAAGAACCATAGCGTTGTATTTCGCCGTGTAGATTACCAGAGGCTCAATCATTCCCCTCGCCTAATCCCTCCCCAATCTCTAAATCTCCAAAACCCCAACCCCCAAAAGGTCGGCAACGCATTCGTAACTCCTCTGGTGTTGCGGCGGTGATTGCTTACCATCAGGTAATCCGTCGGCTCGTTTGCCGTTCGTCTCACATGAAAAAGGGTTCTTAGGAAAGAAAAGCCTATCGTTAGCTGAACCGACAGACACGAAGTGCTGGACAAAAGGGTAGCCATTGTTTGGTTTATGCCTTGGTTTCCTTACCTGATGTAGATTATGTGTGTTTTGTCGCAAACGTACTTCTTGTACGCATTGCATGGGGAACAATCCACTTGCCCCGGAGCCGCGCACCGTACCTTCCAGTAGACCGTCATCTGTTGCTCCCGTCACTGTTTGTTATACAACCAAGTTAATATAATAATAAAGATATTTCTTCATACACTAAAACGCACATTTTCGTAGACCACTATGTCGTCAGTGCTGTAATCGATGGAGTTTATTAAACACATCTGTATAGTTATTTATCACAAGTGCAACCAATGAAATTTATTATTAACTTAGTATGAACACAAATGATATTAATAATGTTTTGTAAGTTGTATGAGAACCATGTGTTTCATATGGAAGGGGACTTCTCTTGAGGGTTTCATTGTCTCAAAATATAACTAGGTAAAAAGAAATAAAGTTACAAATAAGCTTATATATCAAGATAAGGTTTGAGTGGTTCCGAAGTTATCCGTGTCATTCATTTCGCAGCGACTGCTTGTCTCCTTTAAACGTTTCCATGAAGCGTTCAAACTTAATGGCGTAAGTTATAAGGGTACCTAACGAATGTCACACGTGATTACACTGGTGTCGGACACTGTACCTTCAACAATGTCGCCCTGGTTGAGGCGCACGTGACCGGGCGTGCCTGCGTCGTAAGGTTGCAGACACACGACGGTGGCGCCCCCGTGGAGGGAGCACGTAGTGTCAGAGTTGCTGGTCCCGACGCCGCTAGAGTCCGATATGATGTCACTCGTGTCGCCCGCACTTTTATCTGTTGACGTTAGTGTCGCTCAACGGTCAGTCCGGTTTGGAAACGATTCTCGAAAACGTGGGTCCAAAATTGGGATTTTTACTCAGTGACTTTCCAGGGCTCGGATTCACGGTGGGTTAACAACGTGGAGGTGAAGTGCCAACGTTAATTGTGATGGACCGTTGAACACTTGATTTCTTGTACTGGGGACTTACTGGGACAAAAGCGTGTTTTGTTCGTGAATTGGAATTCTAAATACAAGTTTTGGACTTCGTAGTTAGTTAGTGACCAACCGATTTTAATAAGTGTCAGGAGGGTTTAAAAATAGCCTTGAATAACCTTAATCGTATTTCACTAAAAATCAATTTCGTACACCTATATCTAAAAGGGGTATAATCGGAAAAATCATAGTTTTGTCGTAAAAGGAAGCGAAGAAGCGATCGATGGGTAAACTACATGACATTAAGGCACATAGAACATGCAACGAAGTGGACGGGCGATGTCGGTGCATGGTGATGGTTGTCAGTTGTCACATGGTGGCTGTGGTGCCATGTTCCGCAACCTTGGACCACGCGGTGGAAGATAACACTCGTGTAGACACGACGACCAAGCAGTGCTGAATTGCTGATAGGACATTAATGGTGTGTACTTTATAGTGGTCGTATTTACATCGTGTGTTGTTATTTTCCAACGCAACTCAACCTCCTGAATTTTACCTGTGAGTATACTGGCATCGTCCTCGTGGCTGGGGTGACTGGCATCACTAATGCTGGACGAGGCCGACGAGAACGGTCTCTCAAGACTGCAGGGAGACGCTGTGGGGCCGGGCTGCCGGCGGAGCAGGGTGTCTAGTTCCGCTGGTATCCGTGTCGAGGACGCTAGGGACGATCTGTCCCCTGCCGTCCACCAACCCCCCCAAGCCGCAGATCGTCTCTTCGGATTGTACCGAGGAGGTCCACGGAACGGCACTGAAATATTTTATTTAGCAACCGAACAAACTAATAAAGGAATCGTGCGTCAAACAAATATCAAGGAAATAATAATCGAACTTGAAAATTATTCGACAAACACAAGTAAGTTACAGAAAATAATAATAATAGTGCAGTAAACATATTTGGTAGTAATAACTATAGGTGTTAAATATTTGTAACAATAGAAATACATATTATTTACCCTTAAAATATAGATGTTTTAATTTATCTTCATATATTAGCGCAGGTATCAAAAAATACAACCATCACCATTATGATATTAAGCAATGGAATAGAATAGATAGAACGGATGATTCATGCAATAATAATAATAATAAAATATAAAATATTTACACAGATACTGCTAATATACATAGAATGTATGTTGGTAATCTATTTGTATAAATTGAAGTTGCTATAAAATACTAAAGCATTGCTTTTAAAGTAAGTATTATAAATTGGGAATTTTAAAACATGGATTCTCTATTTGAATTTGAATCTATGGCGAAGATAAAAAGAGAGCCCTTATTTTTTCGTAAGTCAATAAAAGAACGTATACGAGTAGATGTAATAAAAAAAATTAAAGAATCCATGTTTTAATAACATTTTTGAGAGTTCAATAATAGTATGAAGCTCCAATCAAAGCCATGCAATAGGTACACGGTACACAGCCGGGGCCAGACTCACCGACTTCCTCAGCTTTGTAGTTCTTTATAACTTCAGCCAAATCCAAGTTGCCTGCTATTACAGCCACCTGAGAATATTGGAAAGTATAATTTGATTATTATAATACTAGGTTTTATAGGGGGAGGCCCAATCCTTCCCCACCCCCAATCCCTCCTCAATCCCTAAATCTCCAAATCCTTAATATCTAAAAGGTCGGCAACGCACTCGTAACTCCTCCGTTGCCGCCGCCCATGGACACCCCCATGGGCGGCGCTGATTGCTTACCATCAGGTAATCCGTCTGCTCGTTTGCCGATCAATTACATAAAAAACAAACAAATGTAAACATTCGTTAATAGATTTCAATTTTATTAGCTTTAAGAAATGTGTATGTATGTTATTTGAGTCTAAATATGACCAAAACCCACAATGTCTTACAAGAATCAAAGAAATCTGTCGTCTTTGGCAATTTTTAACCAGTTTTTAAGTACCCATTTGAACCCTTGGATACTTATTTAATCGCCCAATCACTGTGCTAATCACAACTAATATTATTCTATACTTAACTATTATTAGCAAGGTATTTATTATTTTATAATTAAACTAATACAATCGTATTACCTGGTAAGGGGTTTGGTTAGCGAAGTTAAGCGCTTCTTTATCACAGCCCCGGAATAACAATTGACGTGCGCAGGAGTCTTGGGCGTTAACTGCACACACGTGAAGTGGAGTGTTGCCAGACGCATTGCGGCTGTTCATATCCGCGCCATAGAACAACAGGTGGTCCAGGTGCTGGACGAGACCGTTGCGACAAGCCTGGAATCGAAAAAAGAAAGCTTAATTTACTTATTTTAGTACCTACAGACACCACAACAGGTCAATGTACTCTTGTTAAATCCATTTGTTAGTTTTTTTTGACATAGTATCGAAATCCAATAATATTGCTGATAGATTTGTGAATGGCGACTTGCAGGATTCTTTATTCTGTAAGTTTCTTTTTAATCAATTTAAAATGAGATGTAAAAAGCTTTATTATTTGCCGTTGTTAAGCTTATTAAGCTTCCAAATCATGCCTTTGATTACAAAAGTTTAAATACTAAATATTATTTTGTGTACAGACTCGGGAATTGGTATTCCCGAATTCCCTTGCTCGATAGTAAACTTAATTTTAATCCCATGTTCAAGTAGGATTATACTCACCTGGTGCACCTCCTGCCATCCCTGCAGATCAGTAGCCCCAATCGTGGCATGATCATGCAACAAGGTCTCACACAATAATGGATCAGTTTTATTCGTCACGGAAAGGTACAGTGGCGTCAATCCCTTCCCATCTTTATAATTAGGTGATGCTCCGAGTTCCAGCAAAGTTTTCACAGCTTCAAGAGAGTTCTTTTCAATAGCCCTATGCATGGCTGTGCTGCCATCTTTGGTTCTGTAGTCTAGTAAGGCTCCGCCGTTTACAAGGGCTATCAGTACTTTTCCTGGTGTCTTTAGGCCGGCTGCAATTGTTAGAGGTGTTTCTGAAATGACGATTTTAGGTTAATATTGTCTCCGTTTTAAAAAGAGAATGGTTTGAAATCTATGTAGCTATCTTACTAAACAGATAGCTTGAATGTGTGATGTATTTGAATATTCTGACAAAAGTAAGTTGGCTGCATCAAAATGATGATATACACTACAATAAACTTGCAGCTCATTAAATGTCTTAGCCGGGGCAAGATAAGGTATAGCTGTACCAGCCTGGAGCAGGAGTAGGAACGAGGGGGTTTTTAGTCAGTAAGAGTTTGACACACCCTCTCGCCTCAACTTGGGCGAGAGAAGTTTTGATAAAAAAGAACCCCCCTCAAAAGAAAGCGCTCATTAAATCTTTACATAAAATGTTTGGTAAAATGTTAATTCTAAAATCAATTTCAATTTCACAATCCTACGCAATAAATTGTTAAAGCAATGATTAGTTTCATTTAATGAATTGAACGTTTGAAATAAAGAAGAGGAAACTTTAAATAATAAAATGATTTATTATTTATTCGACAGGAACAAATAATTCAGTTTGCTTCAAGGACCATACGACGTTTATCGCAGATTATCCACGGCTCGGTTGATACGGTTTTCATACAATAGGTGAGGCGTGTTCAGATGTTCGTCGCAGCCTTGAATTCAATAGCCAGACTTTGGGAGTTTGTCAGACGAAATTGATAAATAGTGCTATGAATTTACCATTCAAGCACGAGCTACATTTTCTACGCGATTTGGAACGAAATCACCGTATAAATGACGTCTGGTATCTTTTCAATACATTCGAAAATGGAATTTGATCTTGAACTTCGTTTCACGTGTAATGTTTCTTACGTCATATTAAGTATGTAAGTATTCCTCAAACAATGGAGACTTAGCGTTATATTTTTCTATTTATTCTGAATTAAAAAGTGATTTCATTCGTCTACTTAATTTTTGTTTAATAATAATTAATGCAACAACACGATGGCGTCAGCCGCGGTTGTGGGGCAAGCGCATTAAGGCACCGCGGCCTCGGCCCAGAGCAGAAGAAGGAACGGGGGGTTTTTCGTCAGTAAGAGTTTAACACACCCTCTCGCCTTACCCTGGGCACAAAAAAGTATGAGGACGTCCTAAGTTGAGAAACCATACAAATTTTATAGGAAGGTGTAATTTTTAACATTACCATAAAAGTATTGAATTTGATATAGTTAAGCGTACTAAGTATACTGATTTTTCGTGCGTTTTTGGCTCGTTTGTTTCAATGAAGCTGTACTAATATACCATGTGGCTTTCTAAGCAGACGAAACCGTGGGTAAAGCTCGTTCGTTTCGCAAGTATGTTTATTTAATATGTAGGTAGGACTGCGCGACCTAAATGGAGATCAGCGTATGTCCTTTCGGGGCAACTTGCCTTGAATAGGTAACTGTGCCTCCTACTAAATTGACGTAATAATAACTGCGTTATAACGATTTATGAGTAAGGGTACACCTATGGGGTCTTAGTCTGAATATATAAATAATTAGATATAAAATTCGTACCATTGTACCTAATTATAATGATATTAAACTTATGTATACCTTCTTTTGCTGTGCCCTATCAGGGTCCATAATATGTACCTAGATTTAAGCTCTTAACACCTTTGTAACATTATGGTATGCAAATAAATAAATATGAAATATGACATTGTAACAAAAATTGGTATCAACATGAAGATTAATCTTCTAGTATTATTTAATGAATCATTACGTACTTCCAAGTGCAACATTGCTTATTGCTAGGTATCTAGAATAGTCTAAAATCAATTTATTTCTTTACTTTGAAGGTTTTCTGCTTTGGAAGTAAGTGGTTATTTAACATGTTGTTTTTGGTCATAGAAATGTTTAAATGTGTAACAATATTTTACCTATAGATAGAAATCCTGAAGAGCTTAGTGACTATCACTAAAACCATCATAACCACAATTCAACACCATTATGCAACTGCCAAGAATATTTAAAAGGCTTGTTACTAAATACACCGTATGTATACACCCTTAATACTATTTCAGGTACAGGCAGAACAATAGCAGATTGGAATCAGTATGTAAATGAGTATGGGCTTATGTCTTGTTGTATTGCCAACTGCAGCCTGTCTGAACCATTCACGGCTGATCCTAAGCGGATGAATGGGTTTAAAAAAGTTCGCGGATGTATAAGGTCAAAGCGATAAGGTGTGAAAATCGTTCGCTTCCTGCGGATTTCTTGAGGTGTTAGCAAGCGGAACGAATGAGGTTCGAAACAAGTAAATGCAAGGCAATTTTTGCATTCTCATGGTCAATTATGGTGTTGTTGAGGTCGTCGTAAAATAATCTTGAATGTTTATCATCATTATTGTTTTAGCTGAATCACGCTAACGTAAGTAAATATGTACCTAAGTTAAGTTTTATTCGTAAATTTGTCTATTTTCTTTTCTATATAATTATGAATTGACTGCATGGTTGAAGCGGTGGTTGGGCAACTGGCTGCCGCGCAACGTGTAGCGGGTTCGATTCCCGCACGGAACAACTCTTTGCGTGATCCACAAATTGTTGTTCCGGGTCTGGGTGTGATGTGAAATTGTATGTTTGTAAACGCACCTACGAAACAGGAGAAAAACCCTTATTAGTGTGGGGCAACGTTGGATAAAAAAGAAAAAAGGCTTATCCTATTCTAGATGAGGCGAGAGGGAGGGTCAGTCGCACGTGCACCGTTTCTTCTTCTGCTCCAGACCGGGCGGTACCTACATTATTGCGGTTATCTATGTTAAAATATGTTTTTTTTGTGATAAGGTTACTAAATAATATTGCCTTACCACCAGTCTCTTGACAATGGAAGTTTGGGTCCAGTCCTTTAGCACATGCCTTGGTGATTTTGTCAATCTGCGCGTGCGTCACATGTTCGAGGAACCGCCGAAGGTTTGCGCGCGAGTGCAGGGCCTTTAACGTCTTCTCGTCAAGTTTCAGCATTTTGTATACTCGCCGTTTGTATTTTAACTGCAAAAAATAATAAGTTAGCGGGTTAATATAAAACTAATATCAGTATGGGTAAGGGTGTAGAGGAGTAGTAGATAGTTTTATAAATCGGCACAAATGATCACAATGTTGAGTGGCGAAAATATTAATAGTTTCTTTTTTTAATTCATGTTTTGGTAAGTAGTTTATTATGTAGATGTTCACTATTAAAATTTGTTATTTGTAAACTTTCTTACCTCAAGATATCCAACAGGTCCGTTGAAGGGGTAATCACCGAGGCGTCGTTCCTCGTCGAGAAACTTGCCGGCTTTACCGTTGACTGGTGGGCAGAACAGACCATAGTTGAAGCTTTCTTTCAGCTCCTGAAAACAAAGAGAATTTTCACGTTAGTGATATAACAATATTTTATTAATGTAGCTAATAATACTATAAATTTAAAATTTTAAAAACCCCCGACATTAAATCTAGTCTTAAAAAAAACGTGGCGTTGGGGGACCGATCCAAATATTTTATTATCTACTAAAATTTCTATGTTGTCGGAGGTCTAATTTATTTTCTTATTTTATACTTTTTATAGGTATTTTATATAATTGTCTCTCGATTTAGTCATCAATATTCCCTTTCAGTGCGCTTTCATTTGAGACCCCACTCGAGTATATTTGACCTTCGGTTACCCTTTCCCAATTACCCCCCCAAAACTTCTAAACGGCTCAACCGATTTTTGTCAAACATTTCTAAGAACACTCGCACGTAAGTCACCTTTAATACAAAAAAACTATATTAAAATCGCTTCATCCGTTCAGGCTCCAAGATGCCACAGACATACAGACAGACAGACAGACACGTCAAAGTTATAACACCCCACTTACACCCCACTTTGTAAATCTTGACTAACGAAACGAAAATAGTGAAGTAATTAAACTTGTAAGCGATGACGAATTCTTATTTTAAATACACCTTTCGTTTTAATATTGTTTCGATCATTTTTTTTAATTTAAGTAAAAGTAGATTATAAAAAATACTGAACATATTAGTCGATTCGATTGGAAACTCATTTAATAATGAAACCATCTATATTGTGTCGTAATAAGGTAATCTAATATGTAGGCAGGTATGTCATACTAAAGTAATACTTCCAATACATTAGAGAAGATATTTGCATGACTATACCTAAGCGTCTGGGGAACCATCAGTTATTTGGAAATCGATAGATAACACTTGACATTGAACCTTCGTTGCCTATTACCCTTTTGAGGATATTGAAGCGTTCATTTTAGGTCAATAGTATATTTAAGTGTGGGAAAGCCATGTTTCGGCACGAATGGGTCGGCTCGACCGGAGTGATAGAGAGTGAAACTACAGCGTTGTATTTAATCGTGTGAGTGAGGTTACCAGAGCCTCTGTTGCCAAACCCTAATATACAGGCAACCAATGATATTTATAAATAAATAGAGCCTGGCAACGCACTCGTAACTCCTCTAGCGGCACGGGTGTCTATGGACAACGCCGGTTGCTATATGTAATTAAGATTCGGATCTATGTCCCAATTATGACTCGTAATGCGACGTAATGCATTAAATCCTTCGAAAAATTAAACCGAAGAACATAAGTTTGCAGCAATATGTTTAAATCTAAAATCGAAGTCCTAATATTTCCTAAAAATTCTAAAAACAACAACAGTCTGTAACAAAAGATAGGAATAAAAAAATATTTCACAATATATTCTTAGATGTTTCAAAATAGGGCTGGTTTATTTTTTAAAACGCTTCTTCACATTCCTAACCTATAATAAATCACCTGTCTTAACTACAATACATTAATTTTATTCATAGGTAAGTTACCTGAACAAAATTAATAGTTCACCTTTGCAATAGTGATGAATAACGTTGAATAGATAGGAACAATTTATTTGAACTAATAATTACCCATATCGTATGGTATCAATCATTTAATTACAATGTAAACAGCTTAACATGATTGTTACTAGACTAATCTTGATTAGTAATTAGTTTAACGTGTGTTCAGCTGAAATGAAAGCTAGGTATGTACGTAATTGCTTTGGTACCTAATACGAGCGGTGGCAATGAACTTTTGACATTAATCCAATATGGCGGATTTGTTTTTGGTAATGCGACAAAAGACAATCAAATCTATTATATAAAAATGAATCGCAAAATGTGTTGGTAAGCGTATAACTCAAAAACGGCTGGACCAATTTTGCCAAATCCTTTTGTTTTGTATTTATTATTGTCATGAGAAGGTTCTCGTGAAAGAAATTACTAGAAAAATAGAGGGGAAAAGGGTCGCTAGTGGGCAATAAATTTACTTTTTCGTATGCACCGTAATGATTTTGAATCAAATTGCGTAGAATAATCTAGAATAATACGATATATTAACAAACAGATGTACTTCTATAGAATGTAATAGATTCTGATCAACAAGATTTTTATGTAATATCTACATAAGCATTAGACTGCCGACAAAAATTCTTGATGGCTAACCCTCTGCTAGCATTCTCCAACATGGCGTTATAAAACACTGTATCGAACAGGCATTTAATCAATCAAATAATTGAGTACCTACAAACCTAAAACGTACCTAACTGAACTAAGTACTTCATTGAATTTCCACTGATAAATTCAAATTGTATAAAGCTGGTACACAGTAATGTTGAAATTCTGGTCTGTAGATATTCGAGATCGAGTAATTAATTTCCTGTAACCTCATAAGAGACAAAACGTGTTAATTACATTTTCAATCAATGGTAGCTTTGATTCAGTTACTTGTAATGAAAGTGTTCCTAGTATTGTTGAGTGTATTTCGAGTTGAATATACGTCACATATCATGAACAGCCTGTTTACAGCTTGACTGCATGCTTCTTTAGAGAGAAGGAAATAATCTTCATACTTGGCAGTCTGTTTGGAGATAGTGGTTTTAAAGGCCAAGTTTGCCAAGACAAAGTTGTCCCTAACATAGCTCTTAAGATACTCGCAGAAACAGAAGGACGGTGTCAAATGTCTAAATATACTTCTTTATTAGATGTCAAATATATAGGTATATAATGTCCTCTTCATCATTATCAGCCTATAAGTGTCTACTGTTAAGCAAAAGGCCTCTTTTGACACAGGTTTGAGCATGAATTACTACGCTTAGTCAAAGCGATTAGCGATTAGCGATTTCAAGTTTCTTCACAATGGTTTCCTTCACCGTTTTTCTTTGGTGTCCACCGTCGGACCACCACGACATTACAACGTCCTCTTAATGAGTACGTTTTAAAATCAAAATCAATGTCAAACGTTACACTAAGAAAACTTCAATCCATTTGCAGCTCGGTTGAGTCTATAAAAAGAACAAAAGGTCTCTAACAACTGCACTCAATCTTACTCCGAGTTAATTACAAACACTAATGTCTCGACTCAATTCAGTCGATGGTGTTTATGACGTCATAACTGGCTCTACAGCCTTATAGTCAGCCACAGACTGTGTTTAATGATCTCTCGTTTTAAACGCGGCACACGATTAACATCAAAAGGATGGACCGATGGACGACCTGACTGAAGGACTGAAGCTATTGGATGTGCAAAAAGTGAGAGGTGAACGTTATAAATGACTGGGCGAGCTATTCATGTGTTATGAGATTTATGCCGATTTTGTGGGTGTGCTGCCTTTGAGTTTAGAGGTGGGTTATGGGGATTGCGGCTGGTTATTGTATTCCTTCATAAAATCAATTATTTAATGAAGAAAAAGAAATGTTGGGACATATTTTGTGATAATATCGAACGTCTTCATATTATTTATTAACGATGACGTAATTGAGAAGCCAGCTCAAACACTCTAAAAATAGTATGAAAAACATAGTCACAAAAAATACACCCAAAAGCACGTTGCAAAATATCCAATTTGTCACACGCAGAAAAACCGAGAGGCAAACTCTATTTTTGGAAAACTTATAACGAGCGTTCAGTCCGAGCAAACAAATCATTGGCTTGACTGGCTCCAGACTAACGAAGCAAGATATATTAGCAGTGACACCAGGATTGATAGAGGCTCGCCAGCCGGAACAGATTGCTGCAAAGCTGCAGGTCGCATACCCTGATACCACCTTATAAATGAACCAACGCAAGTTATTTATGAACCAGCAAACTTAGGACGGTACAATGATAATGTTCCAACTAATTACGATGCTGTTTCATTTCAACGATTGAGATCTTAGATTTTGAATGATTATCCCGAACTGGTTGGCCATAAATTCTGATTGTGCGGTGCTTTTATAGCGTTCAAGGGCTGTTTTATAGTTATACATTTAATTTGATTGACTGCTAAGGTAATAAAATTAGAAGATTGTTACCCATTTAAGTGTAGGATGATGTTTCGAAACGTGATTTTGAACTTTGATTTGGAAATCTTAATTTTCTGGAGCTAGAACTCTGAGCTAATAATTTATCGTATTATTCTCTTACTCGGTAACACAGCTCATTCATTTGCAGAGCACGATAAAACGCAACAAGTCCGTGATGGATTGCAGTTTTTCTGGCTTCAAGTGTAGCGTATACAGTGCAAGTTAGCCACTGTTTAGAATACAATGCAGTGCAGATTAACAGGCATGATATATCGCAGAAGTGTCTAGCGTAACAAGACTAGCATAAGTTATAGCTGAACAGGATTCACAGAGCGCTAACTTAGAAATTGTTCCAACATGAACATGTTAAAATGATCGATGCTCTTTGTACAGTAAATAGTTTATAAAGAAATGAAGAGAATGTTACTTTGGAGTAGTTTCAAAGAATAAAGTTTACATAATAAATACAGTGCAGAAAATGTATAAAGATTTTGAATTTCATAATGAAACTATTGATTATCATTCTCTAAAATATGTACAATAATTATGTTACCTAATTATAAAAGAAAAATATTGTTGTAAAATGGCGTAATGTTTAATTATTAAATACAGCCTTTTTTTATGCAGTTCCCGACAAGAAGTTGCCTCAAGCGAAAAATACTTTACAAAAGTTCGCTGAGAATGTCTTGGAAAACTTTAACATTATACTCAATTTTCTTGGATACAATGCTTTTGTGTGGAACTTCATAAGTACTGGATATAGTTAAAGCCGAAGCATGCATTCTGTTATAGCACAGGTTAAACATAGTCTAAAGAAAGTATGTATCAAGGTTTATCTTTTTAAGTCCGCAATATGGAGGTAGGATAGAAGTTTGACGTCAATGTTTGTTTTGTCTTTAAGGGTATTTTTGGTCTATAACGGATTGGAACACCCAATTTCAAATGAACGAAGACGATACGTAAGTAATTATAAAACCTTTTTGTTTATAAACCATGTGATGTGCTATGTACTTCTTAGAAAT